TAGGCCTCCCCACCTACCCCGTCCTATCACCAAACCGACCTGCAATGGACCCCCCCGCAGAGTTCCCCACCCTTGCCGCCCTGCCGACCTCCCTCGCCGCCTCCCTCTTCGGTCGTGCCGCGCCTTTTGTGTCGAGCGCCTTCGGCCTCTCGTCTCGTCTCCTCTTGTCGTCCTGGCCCCCCCTCGTCGTCGTGGTCGTGGTCGTGGTCGTCGTGGCCGTGGTCGTGGTCGTGGTCGTGGTCGTGGTCGTCGTGGTCCTCGTGGTCCTCGTGGTCCTCGTGGTCGTGGTCGTGGTCGTGGTCGTCCTCGTCGTCGCTTCGTTTTCTGACCTAGCTCCGTAGACCAATTCCGTTCTCACGCTGACCGTGCCTCTGGGTCTGCCCGGGCGCACTGCGGCTCTGCGCTGCTGCTCTGGCACGGCATACGTGGAGGGCCGCCAGTGGACGTCCATCATGCCCAGATTGTTTTTTTTTGGAAGGGAAAACAGAAAAAAATGGGCCCCCAAAGGTCTGAACATTTTCCGTCGGAACGTTTTATCATACCGAGTCGTTTTTTGACGGCCCCCAGGCCCAATGAGGGCACCCGGACGCCGAACATTGACAAAACCCGTCTTTTAGAGGCCTCCTAGATGGGGTACGAGTAGATGGGGTCGAATGATCGCGCCGCATCGCCAATGCATCGCCGATGCATCGTCGATGCACCGGCGATGCATCGGCGACGTCGGCGACGCATCGGCAACGTCGGCGTGAAGCAAATCGGGCTCCACATCGAGCCGCATCGTCGATGCATCGGCTATGCGGCGCAATCCTCCTCGTCGCATTGTGAAAAAATCACGGCGGGAAGTTTGTCGCTATTTTCGGCCTCTGGGGGCCCTCGCCGGGCCCTGGGACCGTCAAACAACGACTCGGGACGAAAAGCCGGTCCCAGGGAAGGGGTCCAGACCTCTGGGGGTCGACGTTGTGAAACAATCACGACGTCGGGGGTCTGGGTATGGCACGGCTGGCGCGTTAACGCCGACCACGGAGCATCGCTCCTGGGCCCCACGGGGCGTCCGAGTGGGCACGGGAAAAACGTCGTCGTAGTCCTCCTCTGCGTCGTCGTCGACGACTTCGTTGTTGTCGTCGTCCTCGTCCTCGTCCTCGTCGTCCTCGTGGTCGTCGTCGTCGTCGTCGTCGTCGTCGTCGTCGTCGTCGTCGTCGTGGTCCTCATCGTCATCGTTCTCGTCGTCGTCGTCTTCGTCGTCGTTGTCCTCCTCCTCCCCGTCTTCATCGTCATCGCCGTCGATGATGGTATTCGTCTAGAGATGCCCACCGAGAGTCCAGGCCCGCGGCGTGGCCTCCAGGAAGCCTCTGGAAGGGGCCTCCATGATTCCTCAGCTCGATCCGGATGACCCATGTTTTCCGGCGGCGCCAGCGAATTGGAGCTCATTGCGCCTGGCGCCGTCCCGCGGGCAGGGCGTGGTCGTGCTTCGCGACCAGCGCCCCGTCCAGGGCCCGCGCCTCCCCGATCGGGATGCCGCAGGTGCGCGTCAAGAGCGCGCAGTCGCAACCCGCCCGCGTGCGCAGGAGGGTCCGCGCCGCGTGCTCGTCGAGGCCGGCCGCGCACAAGCTGCGCGGCCTCTGGCAGAACCGCCCGCGAACCGTCTGCAGCGCAGCCACCTCGGGGCTGCCCTCGCGAGGCTCACTCCTGCCGGAGCGGCGGCGGGGGGCGCAGCAGGGGCCGTTGGCAGCGCGCCGCGGCGGAGCAGCAGGGCGGGGGGTTCCAGCGTGCGCTGCCCAGGGAGACCCGCCACGTCGACCTCCAGGCCCGGGCCCAGCGCAGTCCTGCCAGGTTTTCCGCGGAGTCCGGCCGTGGCGCAGGCGCGGGCATTAGTTCGCCCCTCGCCGGTTCCGCTGAAATTGTTGCTGCCTGCCACACGGCGCCGGCCACCCCGGGGTAGCACAGAAGGTGCCTGGTCGGCGAAGGCATCTCCCTGGCCCCCGCCGCGTTCCTTCGGGAGGGGGGTTTGCGCTCCGCCTCGCGACGCGCGCGCGCGCGTGTGGCCGCCGTGCGCAGGCCCAGGCGCGCCCATACAAGGGTCGACGCCGCGGTCGCCGCGGCTGCCTGGTCGACGCGGCCAGCACTCGAGGCACCCCGGGCTGCCTGACGCATGCAGTCTGCACCCCAAGCACTCCCCACTGATTACTCGGTCTGCACCAGTGCCGCGGCTACCCTGCCAGTGAACATCCAGATGGCGGCCTTTGAAGCGGCGCGCCTGTGGACGTGTCCCACCTCGAGGGGTCGCCCCTTGTTCTGCTCATCCCGGTCCTCCGCACGGAGCCGTGCTGACAGCCGGGGCCCGTGCACCTCTCCAGGGACCTGGCCGAGCTGTAGCCGCAGGAACACGCGTCCGAAGATCTCCAAGGTGGCCGCGTGGCGAGGCGCCCACGTCCAGTGCTCGCTCTTCGCGCCGCCTAGCCCAGCCCCCCTGTTCCGCGGTGCGTGGGTGCAGGTTTTCTGGGGCTCCTCCAACAAGCGGTCCAAGTCCTCTTCCTTGGGGTCCGCCGCGATCAGCGCTGGCTGCGAGGCCGCCCGCGGGAAGAGGCTTGAGAGGCACCGCTGGGCCTTGCTGTCCGAAGCCATCTGGGCACGCCCGCCCACGACTCTGAGGGCTTCCCGGATGTCTTCCTCCGGGTCTCTTCGATGTTTTGGGCATCGCTGGCCAGTCGCTGCGCTTCGGACGGCGCCGCAGCTCCGAACCCTCCTTATCGTGTGGCCTCGGACTCAAGAGCCTTCCCACGCCAGCTGGACGCGCCTCGCCAAGGTTCGGGCTGGGGTCTCGCCTTTCTGGCCCCGCGCTCCTGCTTGACGACAGCCCGCAGCGGCGAAGAGCAGGTGGTCCGAGAAGAAGACAGCCTTCGCTCCGTGGGGGCCGCGAGCGTGGCATCGCTCAGGACCTTACGCAGGAAGGCCACTGCGTACTCGACCGCCCTGGGGACCACGCGGACTGTCTGGGCCAGGTCGCGCAGGCGGTCCCAGGGCAGCATGTCCCCACACTCCGTGCGCTGCAAGTCCCCGTGCTGCTCCGCCCCTTCCCTCCTCGTCACCTGCCTCCTCCCTTGTCTGTCTACCCTCCCCGCTGCTGCCTCCAGAGCAGCTCCAACAAGGGGCCCAGCGGCAGCGGCGGCTCCGACAACGGCAGCCCCGAAAACGGCCTGAACCTCCGCCCGCTGCTCCTCGCGTAGGTTGCCCCATCCCGCCAACTGCTCGACTGGGCCGCACTGCGATGCGTGCACACGAGCGCCTGGCCCTCCCCGGTGGACGCGCGACGCGCGGCGCCATGGCCCGGATCTTCTCCAGGCAGCTCGCACGCATCGAGAGGGTGCGAGAGGAGGGGGCGGAGATGGTTCACGCTCCGCCCCCCGGGGTGGCTCCATCGTGACTCTCGCCTGGCGGGCGCCACCGCCGGCGCCCTGACCCTTCCGCCGCCGCCAGCGCAGCGCCAGTGCCTGCGTCGACCTCCATCCTCGATGCCGCCGTCGGGGCAGCGCCAACGGCCGCGTCGAGCCCCGCCCGAGCCGCCGCCGCTGCCCCTGGCGCGCCGCCAAGGTTGACGTCGATCTCCATGGTAACCGCACTGCTTGTCGGATAGGTTGTGGGTGCGCCTGGAAGGCCGCTGCAGCCGCCGCCGGACCGCGCGACAACGCAGCGGCCCGAGGCGATCGCGCGGCCGCAGGCGGCGCGGCCACCCAACCGCCACGAGCCCGCGGCGGGGCGAAGCAGACGGGCGGGGGAAAGTGAACGGGCGAGGGGCAGCAGGGACTTGAGCTCCTCCTCCTCTTGCTTCTTCTCCTCCTCCTCCTTGTCTCACCTCCTCCCTCTCATCATGAATGAATTCCTCTTCGCCTCCTCGTCCTTCTCCTCCTCCTCCTCCTCCTCCTCCTCCTCCTTCTCCTCCTCCAATCCTCTTCCGTAGACAGGACTCTTCCCAGTCGCGCCCCGAAGCCGGTCGAAAGGGCGGGCTGGGCGTTTCGCCTGAGATCTCCTCGCGGAAACATCGGCAACAGCTTCACAAAAGGAGGGCAGGCCACTTCCGAAATGTGTATCTCGCCCGAACGCCGCGCACATTCGCTTTCAAAGTTGCAAGAGGCTCACGGATTGAGGGCGGGGCGTTTCCAAGATGTGGCTCTCGCCTTAGCGCCGCGCGCACTCGTCTTAAAACATGCAAGAACTTCACGGGTTGAGACCGGGCCGAGCGCCGCGGACGCTCGTCTTGAACATTTGCAAGTGCTTCACGGATGTCGGAGTTTTGTAATGCGACTCTCGCCTTAACGCCGCGTGCATCCGTCTTAAAATTGCAAGAGACTCACGGAAGGGAGGCGGTTCCTCTTCAGCCTCAGCGCCGCGAGAACTCGCTTACAAATGTGTAAAGAGCTTTACGGATGAAGGACGGATCCTTTTCAACATGTGGCTCTCGCCTTAGCGCCGCGCACATAGAACAAAAACAGGTTCACTAGTTTCTCTCATTCCACTGGTCAAAATGCCAGAAACAAAATTTCGGAATGGTTCAGGACTGTCAGGGCGCAACGGTTGCGCTGAATCGCGGCTTTGAAATCCCAGGAATCATGTTCTGGCATGCTTCAGGATCGTCAAAAAGGAACAGTCACGTATCAAACTTGACGGGTATTGGAATAATTTTCAACTCGCAAACAGCGCACCTCCGCTAAGCGACACTGATCGCGCTATCGCCCCCTGTGGCGTTGGGATCCCGAGAATGTTTTGGCTCGCTTCAGCGTCTTCAAGCGGTTGTCTCCCAACGGGGTACTTCCCTGAGTGTAGATGAGCCGTTGTAGGTGCCTATGAAGAGGAAGCTTGGGCGGCGGGTTTCTTTCAACATCGTTGATGGGTCTTGGGTTTACGCTGGTCCTCCTCCTCCTCCTCCTCCTCCGCCTCCTCCTCCTCCTCCTCCTCCTCCTCCTCCTCCCCCCGTCGAGCCAAGACCCCCCCCCCTTTGGCGTGGCCTCGGAGTCCGCCTCGCCGCTCAGGATGTCCGTGGCCAGCTGCTGCGTCGGCCCGCCGGTGCCCGTGGCTGGGCAGCCGCCTGCGTCCGCCAGCAGGACGGACACGCCTGCCCCGCCGGGTCAGCAGGCGGCCCCCGCAAGGCGGCGCCCTTCTCGGGCGAGGGCGGAGGCGCACCCAGATCTCCGACGAGATGGGCGATGTCGGAAACCCTGATACCCAAAAGGCTCTCATCTCTTGGGGGCGCAGTGCTTTACTTCCGCCGCCTTCCGCCGCCCTTCCGCCGGCTTCCGCCGGCGGAAGCGGCCTCGTTATGCTTCCGCCGAACTTCCGCCGCCCTTCCGCGGCTCTCCTCCGCGGAGGAGATGGCAACTTCTTCGATCCTCGAAGGCAAACGCCTAACATATGGTCGCGAATTAATGGGGGTGCGATAACTGGGGGGGGCAGCGAGGGCTGCCAAAAAGGGGCGCTTTCGTGCCCCGGTGCCCTTCTCGGACCCTGCAGGCCCCCTCTTGGGCCCTAGCCGGCCCCTCAACGGGCCCCAAGGGACCCCTTTTCGGGAGCCCTCGCTGCCCCCTTCATGTATCGCACCCCCATCCCAGACATGCGACGTCCTGATTTTTTCAGGACGGCGTCCCTGTCAGTCCCGACCCTTTCCCCGGGACCGGTTTTTCGTCCTGGGTCGTTTTTTGACGGTCCCGAGGCCCGGCGAGGGCCTCCAGAGGCCGAAAATTGCCAAAAACCTCCCGTCCTGATTTTTTTACGACGCCATCGTGTCTGGGATGGCGCGTCCTCCGACGAGCGGAATTTTTCAACCCGGGTCTTCGCCCTCGACCTCTCGGGGCCTCCCGGGGCCGTGTCGTCGGGCCTCGGGGCCCCCGAAAAAAAACGGACCCGGGGCGAGCAACTGCCCCCCGGGGAAGCGGTGGGGGTCCTTTGGGGCCGCGGACGGAACAGCATCACGTCGGCGCGCCTCGAGGGGGGAAGAGGAGGCGGGCAGAGGGGAGAGCGAGGGGGCGGACAGAGGGGAGAGCGAGGGGAGAGAGAGAGAGAGAGAGAGAGAGAGAGAGAGAGAGAGAGAGAGAGAGAAAAA